AACCATGATTGCACGAGTACAGTATGGGGGAGCCGAAAATTGGTGGACCGGATCACTCAGACCCCGTAGTTTGTTGCTTTAAATTAAAATAATCTATTTTGCTGGGTCGGCCTCCTCCTCCTCCTCCGGTGGACATAACAAGCATATGCACACGTACGTGTCGCGCGGGAGTAGAGCGGAAGTCGCTAATCGCATTAGCAAAGCTTGGCGCGTCCTTTGCTGTGCTATTGTACACATACACTGCATCGAGATGAGAAGAGCTGATGGTACGTGTATATGGAGTAAAAGGGCCGTGGCTCCGGGCTACGCGCTAGAGTTTTCGGCGCGAGCTATCTTTTGCTTGCTGCGTGGGCTTTTGTTATCGCTTCGTTGGGAATCGTGACAGGAATATTTCCATCCGTGTGCGCTCGTCCGTAGCTACGAGGTACGAGATTCAGACTCAGGAATAACTGCAGTCGTGTGGCAGAAAATAACACTTGGTATATATATAATATACGTTCAACATGCTCATCTGTGAATATTCATCTTGGAGATTTTAAAGTAGATAGTATTCGTGAATAAACGGCATCGGGTACGTAGAAAATTGTAGTAATCCTTTATTCACTCCACCATTGATTGAATGAAGCTTACCTTCGATTTCTGATTTCTTTTTTTGTGATAGAACAACGCTCTATTTTTTTTTTTTTTTTTTTTCCTAATAAAGAAGTTCGGCTAAAACTTCCAGACGCTCCTTTCTTCCTCTCTCTGGTCTATAGGCGCGTGTATATATACGCAACGTGATTTAATCACTCGCAGCACGAACGGCTTTAATAAATGTCATAGAGCTCGACTAGGAATTACAGCCTTGGCCGGCGGTGGTAATTTTTCGCTGCGAGAAAGGGGCGCTGCTGCAACAACGCTGCTGTATACTTACACCGCTGTTTTTGCGCTCTTGGCTATAACATAGAAAATCCTTAGTCGATCGTTCGTAAATAATGTGCTGGTATGGTGTAATTTAAAAAGTTACCGCTCATAATTAAAGGGCACCAAGGCGTGCCAACGTTTTTCGTGTTTTAAATGTAGCTTGAGATTTAATGAGCATTTTGTGCTTTTCATTTGAAAGTCATAAGGTGTTGAAAAATAATTGTTAAATATAAAGAAATATATTTTTTTTTTTTTTTAAACATCACTTTAACACTAGTTGCTTTTTCAACCAACGTTGTGAGATCTTAAAGTGGAGAGCTGAAATTACATATGGTTGATCTAATTAATCGCGTGTTCTTGAGTTAATTTAAAAGAACAGGTAACTTGATTTACGTGAAAAGCTAAAATTTTGCATTCAAAGTACTGAGCCCTATATTTTTTCTTTTTTATATTAAAAAGTTATAACACTCGTACATACTGTACCCATTTTTTCTTAATTTATTCAGATGTGTCCTAACTAATCTTATCTTTTCCTACTTTTACGTCATAATAATAGTCGTTCTTTAAAAACCACAGTGTATAATAATTTTAAAGAAAGATATTTATAATTGTTTATTATACGCTTAAAGAATTTTAGAACAACAACTTAATTTTTTTTGCTAATGTAGAATCATTTGATTTTTTAAATCTGCTACTTTGGCATTTAAACGTTGTACGACCCCACTTTAGACAGACTTTTGTTACACTATCAATGTTTTCTTTTTTCTTACAGCTCTATGGCTTAAAAAATAAATAAATATGATAAAAAATTTATCTTCTTAAAACTTATAACTGTTTCACTACAGACAAAAATTGTGAGTCTTGAAACAAATAAAAAAACTTTTATTTTAATATCTTGAATAAATGTTTTTTCAACTTTCATGGCCTGAAAAAGTTTTGCCGTCGTTAAGCTGGTAACGTACATCTCTTCATTAAATTTTCACTTGTTGCTAAGTCTCAGATTCAGGTGTTAAATCGAAGCTTTTAATTAAATTTACGTCTCACCTCGTAAAAACTTTTTAAGACGATTGATATACGTGTTTCTGTACACACTTATTTAAACTGCCCTCAAATAACAGTTAAGATTGTACGTATTAAAGATTAAATAATGATTTCACATGGTACGAAACTTTTTCGTTTTCGTGAAAATACAAGTCACTGTACGTGTAAGGACACACAGGTCTTGGTGGCGATAACTTGTTTCAAGTTCAGCCAACAGTAGGGAGTACAGCGGGTGCCCGCCTCCCTCACACACCTGCCTCGTTTGAGCCCGCACTCAGCCATCCATCCGAAATTCAGCAACTCCTCGTGTCCTCGCTCATCTCGAAAGTGCAGTGCCTCGCAGTTTGCGCTGGAGTAAATGCGAGAAAGACCGAGAGAGCTGCTAACGGACAGGATTATGGAAATTTCCTGCGCACTTGTTGTCGGGAGAAAGAGGGACAGGGGCGAAAGCGCCTCTCTGAATATGTAACGCTTGCCCTTCAACGGCAGCAGCAGCCCGGACGCCGTGAATTGAATATCCGTTGCGTCTTACGGCGCTAAAGCGACAGCCGCCGCTGTTACTCTCTGTCCGACCGCTCTGCCTAATTAGAAGCGTGAACTTCTCCCTCCAGTTTTTTTTCCCCAACCCGTTAACTTTCCTTCTTCTTCCTTTTTTTTTCGCGTTAAACGCCAGGGGTAACTCTGTTTATTGCTCAAGCTGGTGAATTTTCACGAAATTTTCAGAGCACCGGATGAACCGTCCGAAGGTGGAACCCACATTTTTGAGGGTAATTTTCTTTTTCGAGAGAGAATTTGTATTTCGTCAAATAGAAAGATTTTTTTCATCATAAATGTTATTTTCTGAAATAATAACCCGCACATTTTATGAAAGAAAATATGTGACCAGAGCACCGGTACTCGTTATTGTCCTTCAATTCAGCTCTTGACGTACAGAATCTGATGTACTTGGACCAGGGGTGGAAAAACACATTTGAAACGCAAAAAAAGGGGGAAACCGTATACAATTGGAGAGAAACGGAAACTTTGGTTGAAGAGGAGGAGTCCAGCACGTATAAGCAGGAGCTCGATAAGAAATTCGCGCTGAATCCTAGATGGCTAAGTGGTTATCTTATCTAAACGGCGGGTGCCTCTGTCGTGCCCCTGAGGGTACTCTTGGCAAAGAGAGGGAGGGTATCCGTTCGAGACGGCTTTGGTCGTCGCTCCGAGCGGAAATTAACACCTTCGGAGATGTGGCACTTTCGAGCGGCCTCGCGGGGATGAGAGTGGAGGCTCGTGTTGTGCCGAGGCAGGGGACCAAAAGTGATGAATTTTATAACCGGATATCCGAATCCTTCTTTTACCATTTTTTTTTTTTTTTTTTTCTTTTTTAAGGGTCCTGGGGGCTATTGGAGTTTGGTTTGTCTTATTTTATTTTTATTTTTTTTACATTGAAAACGTGAAGGTAGATGCACTTTTTGTTTTATTTATTAAATATACCATAAATTCATATTGCGATTATGTGTTGGCGATTGTTAGTTAATTGATGAGTAAAAGCTACGTTGTTTAACCAAGCAAACCTTCCTTTCTATCGAAAAAATAAATAAATGAAACGAATGAAATAAAAAAACCTGTCAAAAGAGGTGCAGTGGTCGTGGTTGAGGTGTATGGAGGGTAATTTGTGGGACAATCAAAAAAATAAAAAAGTTACACGCTTTTTCATGAATAAGAAAATGGCACAGGTTAACTGCTTTTTTCTAATACTCGTATGTTTACTGTACTCTCACCCTTATTCTTTTTTATCGCAACATTAACAACGAGAAGCTCCAACCGCTCATCAGCGCGCGACACCATCAGTTATAAAACCGATAATTTTTACAAAAGCCCTTTGCAGACCCTCGTTGGCAAGACGGAAGCGTAAAACCGAGCGATAACGCGGTGAAATGTCCTTCGAGAGAGAGAGAGAGAGAGAGAGAGAGAGAGAGAGAAAAAGAAAGATAAGGGAACAATGTCGTTCCACTCGCGAGTCAGCCCATCGCATTACGAGGCCCTCCTCCACCTCCTGAGTGTGCATTTTATATGCAACATGAGCCAACTACAGCCAGGCCGCAGGGCAATAAGCAGACGTTGCGATTTCACGAGTATCGTTTTTCTGTTGTTACCGTACCTACGTCGGGTGAGTTGTTCCACATTGCCCATAGCATCCGACTCCTCCTCGATTTTTTATGCGGGTGACAGTTTTATTTAGCTCTACTGGTGTACACAGGATTCCTTGATGCTGTTAGCCCGACAGTACTAGTCGATTGATATCGGATAACGTAACAAAGTAACATAAACTTGGGTAACACTTTTAAAATTCCGAAGACCAATTTAGACGTGTATAATAAGCTCGACGCTGTTCTCGTCTGCTACTCAAATTTTCGTGTGGCGTGGTCCCAACATTTTATCAGACATGTCGCGTGTAACTGTTAATTTTTGCATAACCCTATTCCTACCTCTCACCAGCGATTAAATTAAATGTCAATTAAATAAGGATTCATCAGTTTGCAAAGGTACAAATAGATTTCTGATATCGACATTCCTCGTTGGCTTGCAATTTAATCATTCAAAACGTTTAAAATAAGTCACGTGGAAAATTCAACGTTGCCTAATATGTTAAACACATCTCCAGCCGATATTGAATTATAAATTGGGTTGTCTGCCCTTATGTTGAAAATAAATGGAGCCTTTCCCCTTCAACCTTTGGGTAAATAAGATCTTGACACCAAGGTACCTGTAAAAGTTCACAGACATTCCCTACCCAACCCAATTGGCGCTCCACCTGAACAGCTTACAATTATAATAATATTCATGTCCAGCGATAGCGTACGCTATCCTCGGACATACACTTCCACAGTCTGACCCACACGTGCCCCATATCTACTGGCAATTCAATCGTCAAAATAGAAGCGACGTAGCCCCGAGCCAGAAGGGCCGGCAAACAAAATCACGCGAGCCCGAGCACAAAGCCAAAGAGACAGACCCAATACACATTGTCGATACAGTCGCATAACGATACCCACAACACGCATGAATCGCAGGTAACGGTGGAGAGTTGCGGCGCGGACAAGGGACCAATTTGCCCGCCGCTTCCGCTGCAGTACCATCCGAGCGCCTACGCTGCCGTGGCCGCGGGCGCAGCGACTCTCGGCTGTGCTGGCAACAGCATCCTCGTTCCTACGAACACCACCGCCAACTGCACGGGCACGGCTGCCATCGCCGCCACAACCACCACTACGCCGCAACTACACAAAACTACGGCCGACTACGCACCTGGTAGGTCATCACATGTATTTATGTAATGCGCCGATGATACGGGAGTCAACGCAGGGTCAATAAAGTACAGAGCCTCGAGGGCACGCGTTTATCGCGATGCTGCTACGATATGCGTTGCGAGGGTGCTAGTTGAGGGGCAATACTTTTGCGCGAGAGCTCAGCGAAACGACGAGACTCGTAATGCACCCGCCAGAGAATATGCTTTTGGCTGTTCGATGGAAGAGCCGCTTCTACGAGGTGCGTGTAATAACCGTGGAGCGGCCATTTGGGTTAATCGTAAATTCATCGGGGGATCGAGGGCGCGAGGGGCTTACCAGGGCACGCTTTGTGGCTTGTTTGCTGCGAGATTCTCCCCTCGGCGTGAATGATGTACTTACCGAGTGTGTATACGTGTTCGTAGAGTCATGGGTGCGCGTCGAAATTAGTTTCGGTTAATTACTTTGAGTCCCCCACGTTATTATATATGTATTATACATCACGAATCGATTTGAAAGAATAACGGGCCACACGCGAAGTTAAAACTCCCTGGTAGCTGCCAAGCTCCGTGAGTAATTCAGCCTTTTGTACGTTGGTGCGAGTAGGGTGCCCGCAATAAATTAATAATTAAAGTGCCGTATATCTGCAGCGGGGGATGGAGGTCCGTTGGAATATGCATTACGTGGCGAGACCGAGGCAGCACAGGTACACAAGACGTGGGCCGAAGAGCGAGAGATAAAGAGCGAGTTTGAAAAGGAGGGTCAATTTGGTTAAGGGTCAAGCGAGTCATGGCGCTGTTCCGCTGGAATATTTACTCGGGAGGCGCGAGTGCGGGATAGAACGGAAAAGGTGATCCGGGCCGAGGGTTAATGTGGCGAGAACAAGAGGGCGGGGTACAGAGGGCATCACTGGAGGGTGAGCGTGGAGGAATAGTTTGGGGGGGGGGAATCTCTAACGAGCAAGTTTACCGTCTGGAATTGAGCTGGGGCTGTTCTCGGTCTTTCTCTTTTCGAGATGGAAATCTAAGCACGAGCTCGCACGTCGAATAGTCCGGCAACTATTTCGGTGGGTCACACCTAGCCGATCCTCTCGCTCGCTATTTCGCTCTTTTAACTGTCTTGCTCCGTTTTCGGGAGTTTGCATGCCTAACCAACGACTGGTTAGTTGGTTGGGCTCTCCTTCGCTGACCAAGGATGTGTGCGCTGCGCTGCAATTCCTTCCTTGCTTTCGGGACAGTAACGAGTGGCCGAGAGATCGATAGAGACCAGCTATGGCCTGCAATTTAACGATTCAAAGTTTGTCTTTGGCCGCTCTGTATTGATTGGCCAAGTCATAGTTTGCATATTCGTGGTTTTGGAACTCAAATATATTTGATAAAGGTGTTAATTTGGGTCAATTAATGTTTTTTATTTTTCTTTTTTTTTAGAATTTGCAAGGAATAACACAATAACAAATCGACTACCTACCTTTTTGTACCTAGTACGTTAAATTAGTGAGAGAAAAAAAATCCAACTGGTTATACATGATACAACTTGACAATTCAAAGATTGCTTATTGTACGTACAGAATTTCGTAGTCGATATTTTTTACCCCTTAAATATGAATCTTTTTTTATGGTAAAAATCTGGTTGACATAATTTTTTTCGTAATTATGTTGTACTATTGTAATGTTTTGATGTCTGACTTGAGGTTGAGATATACTACTTGTTTGATTGTTTATTTTACCACTTATGGTGTGTTTACTGTAATGGATACATCGCAGTCTGCACTTTTAAATATGGATAAAATTATTTTTTTTTTTATTATTCCCATCATTATAATTTTTTAGTATAAGATAAAAAAAACATTCACGTTACAATATTATAGACATATTATGTCTGACCAAAGGTTGATCTCTACTACTTCCTGGCGAATTTTCTAAACCAGTAATATAATGGGATTGTAAGTCTGACTTAAGATTGATCTCTACTACTTGATCATTTGTTATTTTAAGCAGTGATGTAATTAAATTAAAACATCTTATCATGGATGTGTTCCGAATGGATTTAATTAGCATAAAAACAAAGTAACCCAACCTTTTTATTTGCAGTGAGTAAAGTTTGGTTTTTGATTCAAACTCAGCGTCTTACGCTCTCGTCCCTTTTTTTTGCAACTTTTCAGGAGTTTCGGAAGAGCACCCAGTAATTCCACTACTACTCAACACGTCGGTAAATCTCAGCCGGCCGACTCCGTCGTCACAGGACTACTCGACCAACGCACCACCCATCCCACCTCCCCCAGAAAAATATTACGTCAGTCCAGAAATCTGCAAGGTGAGACTTTTAGCTTTATTTTCTCTCTTATCCAACTGCGATGATGACGCGTATGCCCAATTACGGCAAGAACGAGCTACGTATGTAAATCAGCGGCTGCCTCGTGGACGTTAATCAATCGCTGAAAACTACTTGAACGCCAGCGCGGAGGGGAAGGTCTTCATTAGCCTTAATGCACGCCGGGAAAGTTTTCGCAGCGCTCTTTACTTACCTATGGCGGCACCACGGCTACACTTGTGACCCAATTTTCAAAAAGTGGAAAGTAATTACGCGCCTTGGGCTGGATGCGATGAAAGAATTTTCTTTCACTGTATTTCACGTTTGACTTTCTTGCATCTCGTATTTTTTTTTCATGCTCGTATCCAAATAAAGTTTTATCTTGAAATTGCAAATTTGTTAATTTACATAAAAGATATCATGGTATTTAACATAAGATGCTATTCTTTATCACCAACACAGATGTTATCAGCTGCAAACAAAGAAAACTTTTAGTATTCCGTTTCATAATGATAATATCAAAGGTTGTAATACACAAAGTTATTAAAAAGTTGTTTGATAAACACTAACAGTAAAAAAGTTTCTCGTAGCATATAAAATCGATATTTGTATCTTGATAATAATACGAAACAAAAATGGAAAAACAAGGTAGTCTTACGACAGCAGATATAAATTTCTTGAAAAACTGACGATACAATCTTGACTAAAGTTCCAACCACCGCATACCCGAATCAATAGACCCGTCGATTTTTTTTCCCCCTCGCAGAGCCCAGCACTGCCACCATTGCCCGCATCGCCAAACCCGAGCTGCACACCACCGCCTCACAGCGGCAAAGCCTCAAGTAGTTTAAACAGCTACAGTCCGGAGGACATGCTAACCGAGGAAGAGGATGAGGATGAGGCAACGGCGCGTCTTGACTGCGTGATTTTCGACTTCCCGCGCGAGAAGCTCAGCATAGCCGAGAGCTTAGGTTGCGGCAACTTTGGCGATGTGCACATATGCGAGGTCGATCAGTTTCCCGGCTACGAGGAGGTCTTCCGCAACACCACGACCGACCTAGTCGTCGTTAAATCGCTCAAGCCCGGATCGCCGGAACTGCTTAGGTGGGTTTTCTCAATTGTGATTCACCTCACTTTTGTTTAAAATGGGAATGTTAAGGGCCAACCGTACTTTTCTCATCATTATGGCATTGATACAATAAAAAATTAGATGTAAAAAATTCTAATTTCATGTACACTACACCTAACCGAGACTCTATGACATCTATGAGCCCAACCAATAGCATCACACCATCCCTCCTGTAAGCAACTTAGTTCAAGGGTTACGTGAGCTTAAAAGGATCTGAAAAATGGAAAAATGTTGTTGACCAACTGTTGAGAATTCACGTTGAATTAACGATCTCAAAGTAAAAAAAAAAAGAAAAAAAAAAAAGAAAAAAAGAAACTAGTGTTCATTCTGAGCAACAGTCCTAAAAGTTGGCAACATCAAACAATTAAAATCTCCAATGCAGCATGGCAGAAAACCATAACACGCAACATCATCGAGAAAAACTCCAACAATGCAGTTGTCACTTCAATAACGAACCAGCTTTGTGCTTTGCGCGTGAAAAACTTTTCCACTCGACCTTCTTCTGCCCGAGGGCTGCTCACACTCCACGCCCATTTCTCATCATGGGAACTAAACGTCGTGGTAGTTTTTGTCTCGCAAAGAGAAAGTTCAAGCCCAGTGGCAGCAGCAGCGCTGCACCCACAATTGTTACCGGGATTCGCTTTGCCCTCGCGCTTTTTTGATCGCAACAACTATTGATCCGTGTACTTTTCTCTCTTACTAGTCTCCAACATAAAGCTCGGGGCTCATAACTTTCCTCGGTCCATTAGCAAGGTGGAATTTGCATCCACGGTTGTACGCTTTTTATTCGAGCGAAATTAAACGCAAACATTCGTTCGATTACTTTGAAATAAGTTTTATTGTACGAGAAAATTTTTTCACTTTTAATCGTAGAAAAAATACATTATCAGCAGATATGGAAAAAATTCCCCCCTCAAAAATGGTGTATTATACTTCGCTATCTGATTGTCACTTGTTTTGAGATATATGCTATTTTTATGCGAATGCTTTGTTCTGTACAGGTTAGAGTTCAGAAAAGAAGCCAAAAAACTGGCAAGACTGAACGACCGGAACGTCGCTCGACTACTCGGCGCCAGCCTCGACGATGACCCGATGTGTGTCGTCCTGGAGAACGGCGAGTGCGGTGACCTGAATCAGTACCTGCAAAGTCACGTGGCCGAGACGACCACTGTGCAAACGACGAAAACGTTGAGGTGAGTCGTTGCGATGACACTTTGATACTTTGCACGGTATAGGCAATTTTTAATGCTAAGCGCGAATGACTGAATGAATGCTATCTTCGTACAATCACGTATATCCTCTGGGAAAAATCCATTTCTAAGCACGTGAAACAATGCAATTCTGAAACCCTGATGATGCACTTAAAATTTAAAAGATCGTTCTTGGCGTAATCGCGTCTGTGCAAAACACAGCATTACAGAGATAAAGGCGCGCTCGTAGCAGAAGAGCTTTTCCCGAGAACGAACGAAAGGACACATCCAGAGCCCAAGCAAACACACTCTCAGCTGCACCTTATCTACGATCGTGTTAAGGCGTGCGCGCGTGTATTTGCAAGCTAGAGTGTGCGTGAATGGAAGCGATGAAAAAAAAGCTGCTCGAAACTTGAATAGGCTACTAAAGTTGCGAATAAGATGGAGCGAAGGGAGGTAAGGAAGAATAGGGAAAAAGAAGGGATGTCGAGAATTTAAAATTGGAAATCTATTTGCTGTGAGTAGCTGTTGTAAATAATTGCATTTCTCGGCTTCCAGTCTTTTAGACGGTTCTTTGGCGCGATTCACGCGCAAATCGAGTTTTTGATTAACATCATTTTTTTAATTTCATCTTTCGAGTGCTTTCTCTTTTCGATGCGCCACCCTTTGTTCGTTAGTTAACGAATGCCTCGCGTCTGTTTAATCATTCGTAGGAAAAATATTTAAATTCTGAGCTTCTAATCGTTATGATATAATTACAAAGACTTGATAACTTAAATTCCTTAAACATCTTGACTCAGTAAGATTCGTGTAATTAGCATCAAGTTTCATTTACTGTTTTATAGAATATAATTTGTTAATAATTAAAAAAAAATTCGTTCAATTTATTCTATAAAACAGTAAATGAAACTTGATACTAATAATTGAAATAATTTTTTTTTAATTATTAACAAATTATCGCTTATTTCAACTATCACTTTGCCACGGTATTTGATGATGATGTATAAAAAAAATTTGTAAATTAGCTGTTTAATATACTAGTTATTTATTTTAGTTAAAATTTTATAAGATAGACTTGAAGTTTCAAACTTTCATAAAACTGTATAATGTTATTAAGTTTTTGAAAACATCAATTTATTTTTATTAAATAGTATTTGATTGTTTTTAGTATACACTGTAAGTAAGACAAAGCTTAATTATACATGAATAGTTTTATTAATGTAGTTAAAACTTACATGATTTTCCGAACTTTTGAGAACAAACTGATCCAAATCATAGTTATTTTATACACACTATCCTCATGTATATTCGATAGCACATTTATGACTTTTCAAAACCTCACATTTCACATAATAAGAATAGTTATGATTACCACTGTCAACTTCTTCACTTGTCTAATTTAACATTGACTATTACTACTTTCAAACTTTTTGCACATTAACTAAAATTAATCTTTGGTAGATTGACTAGATCATGTTGATTGTTACTTCTGAAAATCTTTTAATACGTCTGACAAAACGTGTAGTTTTACTACTGTCAACTTGCCTAGTTTCAAGTTTCATTAATTGCTACAGCTGCAAATCTCTAGATGAATTTATTCGCAAAACTTTGTGACCATTTAATAAAGATACAATCATTTTTATTATTAAAAGTATAGCTTTCTCTATAAACACTCGATGAAAATTACTAATATCGAATTGTAGATACGCAAGAGCAGTACTGTATCCACGGCCCTATTCAACACGAATTTATTTCGTCACATTTTACCGAATCAAAAACAAATCAAATTCCATATTCTCGTGATAAAATCAGCAACAACAGCAGCAGGCTGAAGCCGATCGCGCAACGTCAAGCTCGAAAACACACTCATACCCGCGTGTATATATACATGTCGCGCTCAATCGCTCAGCCGAGTAAAATCGATTCCCCCCTCGCATGTGCATGCACGTATCTATACCTCGCTCGTATATGCTCTGGCAACGACGTTGTCTATACCTACGCGCGGAGTATATACCCTTCTCTCCTCGTCAAATGAAGTGTAATTTGCGATCCAACAGGCCGCGAACAATGGCGCCGAATGCCAAGCAGCGCGGAAAATTTTTACTCCCTGCGACTGAAGAACACGACGAGCGATACGAGCTGCTACCCGAGTGATTGTTCCCTGCCAATGAGCTACTTATGTTACCGTCCGAGTTGATCTTCCTACCACTGCCAACTTGCGAAATGCAAAAAAAAATTCCAGCCCGAGATCTCAGTTGCAAGTGTTACGGTTATAGGAAACAACAAATATATATGTTTAAAATTGACTTGAAAATTGTCATCGTGTTTTATCAGCTGTGTTATTATTACGTTTATAAATCTTAAATTCAACAGTAGAACAGTTTTTATTAGCAATTATTTCTCATACCCCTATACAATCTGGATCATGACGCAATTCGCAATAGATTATCAATTCCCCCCCCTATCTTGCGTTAATTGCAATTATTAATTCTTGATGGCTTGTATGATACAAGTTTTTCATACTAGCAATATTTGGCGTATATTTATCACGAGATATTTTTTTGGTCGACTTTAGTCATTATACCATTAAGTTTACTATGATCACAGCTGTTAGAACCACAATAAAAAAACTCGTATGGTAAAATTCAAAATAGATGAACTGAAAGAACCCATCGAAGTTCAAATTACTTTTGCAGGTTTCTCAAAACTCCTTGTAACCAAAATTTTCAATGCAAATATTCGTGAACAATAGTCAAAGAGGCGATAATTAATTTCGACAAAAAATCCACGATATACCCGCTCAAGCGTATGTACTACAATCACGGACAATTTCGGACTCGCCGCAAACATTCCCCGAGAAATTAGCCCCAAATTCACGACAGTCTATCTTCCCTCCTCTTTTACCACCACCTCAACCCTAAAGCTCACATCCTCGCGACCTTATTTCCCTGTCACTCCCTTTGTAAGCCCGCACATCTCTCCTCCGAGAAGAGCCCATCAGCCGCACGAGGATAAACATTAGGGGCCGTAGGAGGTAGGGGAGGGGGTTCCCAGGGACCTATATGCCCAAGTTGCCGCGAACTCGCGAAAGCTTTGACGATTCCGCTGTAGCGCACTCACCCCCCCCCCCTTCGCCTTCCCACCCTATCTCTTTTCCCGCAGTCATTTTCTAACCTATGCATGCGGATGTACGCGAGAAAGTAGTGTTAGTATGTGGGTGCGACCCTGCCAAAAGATATCGAGGTGTACTTGATTTTCTCTTTCTACGTGTGTGTGTTTGCAGTTTCGGCACTCTGGTGTACATGGCTACGCAAATAGCATCCGGCATGAAGTACCTCGAGGAAATGGACTTTGTGCATCGGGATCTGGCTACGAGGTAAGATGTATACGTATATTGGTGTATTTATGTGCGTGTCTATGCACTGCCAGCAATGGGAAAGCTAATGTACACGTGCAGCCTTCGAAATAAGAAGAAATAGGAAGTGGCATTGAAATGGACTTACACGTTGATGTACGCCTGATGGAGCTGACTCAAACAGAGTAGCGATAGGGGTGGTCTTTTTAAGAAGACTTTTTGTTTTTTTATGATGCTTTGTACTTTGGATGTTTTATTTTTTTTGAGCTCTTTTTTTTTACATTAGTAGTATCTTCAAATATTTTTGCACATAGTTACAAGGAAATTATTTTTGAATCAACTTGGGTGATTTTATGGCTTGAAAAGAAAAAAATAAAAAATAAACGATTAACTGTGATACAATTATATCATAAAATACTTATAATGTTACGTGAAAAGTCAAATTTATTACACTCGACACTTATTTAGCCTCATTGGGTCTTACCCCTAAATAGATTTTACACATGCAAAGAAAGTACTTGAGCAACCAGTAGTGCAAGTAAGCAAGGACTCTTGTACTCCGATCCATTTGATGGAGGCACGTGTACCAATTATGAATTCCAATCATAAACCTTGATAGTATAATAGCCTTCTGGGATAATAAGCACATAACTGTCAGGCCTTGTCTATCAAAGATTGATTTTTTGACGCTGCAGATCCTATTATAAATTTTTTCTCGTACTTTGATCCTTATCCAACTGAACTGAGTTTTACTGGAGCGGTAACATGAAGAAATAAAAAAAATTAACAATAATATGAGTGGATCTAGATCCTTTCATTTTAATTTTTTTTTTTTTTTTTTTTTTTAAGTCATTTTAGCTCTTCCCTGGATTTCTCGAGTACGCACAACATAAACTACTGCAAGAGTCAGCTCGTGACGCGGTCCATTGACTACTGTACTTTATTACCGTGCACGATCGTTTCAAAGCTCCCGTTCCCTCAGTCTCTCTTTGGCTCAGCACCGGAACTGCGAAATTACGGTTTAATCTGTTCAACAAGACAAAATTAAACGTTTCTGGGCATTAAATTTTTAATTCTGTGAAATGAAATTTGCTTTTCGAAGCCCAACATCCTCAGCCTGGAAGTACAGTATCGGACTGTTTCCACCTGGTACCCTCTCTGCAAAATATACGGGTACTGTGTTGGCGATTTGTCCACCGTAGAAAATGCTAGCCACTTACCAATAAGCGTTTTTCACTTTTATTTATTATTCGCTCGGTTTTCAGTGAAAATTATTGTATCGCTTTCCATTAAAGTTGACGTTTGATTATTCAATCGATAAAACGATGCTTTTCAAAGTAGTCTGTTGCAGCTTTGCTTTTAGCTTGAATTTTTTTTCAATTTCAATTGTCCATGAATTGATGAAATTCTCATCATTTAAAAAATTCCTGAGCATCTGATTGTTACATTCGTTATCTCATTAATTGGGAGAAGGCATTTCCCACTTTATTGAATAAATTTCGGAAAGCAACTTCAGTTATGCCAATAGAAAGTGTTTGCTTTGCAATTAGCTTATTAAAAAAAAAAAAAAAAAAAAAAAACGAGCATCATAAATAATTTTTCTCTCCTCTCGATATCAATTCAAGCATATCGTACAAACCACTCCGTGCTACTCTACTCGTATTTTTTCAGCAAGATCAATCAAGTGCTCGTACGCTTTTTTCGCATACCTCTCTTCATCCACACAATATCCTCCTCCTCCTCGAAAGAGAAGAGAAAAAAAAATCCCACGAGCTCCACTCGAGTCTCGCAGGAGGTAGCTGTAGCGCCGAAACTTTCGCAATATTATCTAAATTTGAAACTCCCCTACTACTACCGGTTCTACTGCAACTACTACTGCACAGCCTGCACTACTGACGCGTGGCAGCAGCGGCGCAGTGTAGAGCCAAAACTCGGGCGGTGCAACTTTTTAAGCGTCCAACGGCGGCCGCGCGCGTATTCGGGGGCCTTTATCTATACGCAACCAGGCGGCCTTTTCCCCGGGCCGAACTTCACTCTTCTTCCTCCTCCTACTTTCTTCTTCACGCTCGAGTCGGCCGATTAAAAGTTTTGACTAATTGACCGGGAAATGGAGCGTCCTGTTATACCGCCACCCCCCTGCCTCCTCCCTTGCGTTTTCATGGGGGAGCGCACACTAATTAGCGATCCCGATCAAAAGGATGGGAGACGCGAAAAAGCGCGCCAACGTCACGTCAAAGTCCTTGCCGACGGAATAATGAACCGTGACGTTTGGCGGACTCTTTTACTCGATCCACCCCCAACCAAAACCCGTATGGTGTACACCGATGTTTTTATGCACGATCCCCAGGATATCAAATTATTTCGATCCCCCCGACCATGCAAGTGGTGGCCGTTTGACGCTAGTCCTTTTGTTTTCCCTTGGCCATTAGCACACGAGTGTGTAATCAGATAATGTAGGTATAATCATGTCCCACTGCCGATGGTCGGATTTTTGCGGATTTCGGTGTTTCATTCAATTTTCAACGTCCGTCAAATCCATGGTAAGGATTTTAAGGACGCGCTCTAATTCCAAGAAACAAAAAGAGTTTCAGGCAGCTCTTAATTACTACTTTGACGTGTGACGAGATTCCAAACGTGTTTTACTGATGGTAAAAATGTGTTTGGCCTAAATCCTTTCAAAAGTAAGCTCCTTCATAAGTATTCTGGGCTTCAAGCTATACACCTCGAAAGAATACTAATAATGGTAGTCGAATTAAATTAATGTTTGGCTTGTTTTAATGCTTAATTTAATGCAGTGAGCATCAAAATAAATCCATATTTTTAGATTGACATTGTTTGATTTGATTCTATGAATGTTCAGCCCTCACTTGACCAGAGAGTACTGGTGGAATTTCCTTAAAACATTTTATTTGATAAAGTTTATTTAAGAAATTCGTGTGACTTTGATATTTTACTGAACACTTGACCGAATGACTGGGATAAAAATGCTCCTATTGGGGGAAACGTGACTTTCAGGAATTGTCTGGTGAGCAAGGGTTACACGGTGAAGATTTTGGATCTGGGCTCAGGGCGGAGTGCCTACCTAGCGGACTACTTCAAGACAGACGGCCGGTCGTTGCCGATACGCTGGATGGCCTGGGAGTCGATGCTACTGGTGAGTCCCATTGATCATGTCCATGCACATCCCCTTTAACGCGAGATGGAACGTGATGGCTCGATTTCACCGCCCACCTGCTTCTATTTTCCGTGCTTCGCTCAACCGAGTTTTTCATTTTACGAGTGTACTCGTTTGCTCATTGCTTTTGCAAATGTGTGGGTTGATTATTAGTATAGTTTCAAGTATAATTTAAAAATACACTCTCACACCCGATATCAACTGAAAAAGTAACTCTTTTATATTATTACGAATGCGAGTAGTTTTTAATATTCATTTGACTTTTACTAGTTATACGAGCGTGGTGCAAGTGAACTCGATTTTTAATTGAAATTATGGTGTGATTTATAATTTAATTTTAAGTGCAACCGAATCTGTTAATGGAATAAAGTCCTGGCTCAAATGGAATACAATTAAGATAATTAGTACACGTGCACTGATAAAATTTTTTTTTTAAATCCTTTTTTCATATTATTTGCAAAATTAAATTATTCAATTCATCGGAGCAGAAGTTTGACACGTCAAAATATTTTTAAAACTGTCCAATGATTGACAGAAGAAAAAAAAGCACGGAACGTACATTATACAATCGAAATTTTAATAAAACAAAATCCCAAACGTGCTCCACCTCCCAATATGTTTCAACAAAAAATGTAAATTAATTATCAGTTACAATATTTTCGCTGAATAATTCAACAATACGAGCTTTGCCAGGACAAAGAAGGGACTGAAATTTCGTTTCACGAGTACCTTTGTTGAAAACATTTTTTCCAGCGTACACGCACACACACAAATGTACAAATGAACTTTTCATATAATATTGTACACCGGTGCTACAACGACGAATAAAACACTGAACTAATAACAAATGCAGTTTTGGCACGTATTACAGACAGTCAGCCCGAGAACAAAGTTTCACAAAATTAGTCGAGCGAACCCACCCTCTCCCTGTCACGCGAAATTGTGTATCCCATTTATACGGGAAACAAAAACCATTCGAGGAAAAGTCCTTGATCTAGTGATAAACTATTTATAAACATTTGAGTTGGATATTTGTTTACTTGAAACTCTGCATAGCTTTGAGTATCCATTCAAAATTTATGTGACTACTGCGCACGGATTTTTAATTTGAGCTATGAAAATGAGTTTATTTATTTATTTTTTTCGTTACTTTTTAATAGTACTATGAAAATGTTTGTGCATCTAACGATATTATTATTCACAAGAAACGTATCACTAATAAACTTAATGATAAATTTTAAATGACCAGAGGTCATGATAATAACTCATTTTGCAGCCATTCATTGTCTAATAATAAATAACAAAGGTTAATGGTTCAGCCAAACTGCTGATAAGCATCTTTATGGAAGTTATATTCGCTTTTGATTTTTACTCATCGAAGTATTAATAAAAATACGATGATCAACATGCTTTTGAAACTCAAACCTGGACAATTGAAAGCAAATGAAATCTCAATCCAAACAAATGTTGCCCGTAATAAAATACACGGAATTATTTCGTACAGAATGACTGTATTTCAAGTGAAAAATAATGCGAGAAGTATTACAATAACAATAAAAAACAATCATAATCGACTGAAATTATTGTTTTTATTCGCGTTTGCAAGATTAAAGCTCAAAGCTTGTTGTGTACTCGTGAACCATTGTAAAACTACTTTTGTAGTTACCATATTATCGCATTTGGTGATTTATTGTCTCTCAGCGCGATAGAGGCTTTTGTTTCGTTATAAAGTTAATGGTTAGTTCCCGAAAGTAATGATATAGTACGTGGAAGAAATAACGCAGTTTTTTTTTTTTTTTTTTTTTTTTTTTGGAACCAACATCGTACAGACTTTGTTCTAATGTAAAAAGGCAGCCAAGCTAAGCGATAATGGAATACCGAGTCTTCCGCGTAAGTGAATTCCCAAGAGCATTAAAGAAACATTTCCAACTTTCGGAAAATCTCGAGAAAACAAGGGCGTTTGTTTACCATCCGGGAAATTCCATTACGCTTGCGAAAAACCTTAATAAGAAAGAATTACACTTGAAGGAGCCTCTTAAACCACTTATCCCGTTCCCTAATAATTTAACGACTCGGCAAGTAGGAGAAAAGAAAAAAGGCCGCGCGTCGCGGTAAAGAGCGCGAGTTGGGGGGGGGGGGGGGGGGGGCATAAAATAAAGTTTTCTCAAGACCATAACGCGAGAGAAAAAAAGAGAGAGAAACAAAAACCGCGGTAGGAAGAAACAAAGAGGCTTGGGGGGAAGAAAAGTAGAAAAGGGGGAGAGGGTGAAAGTGAAGTGAGCGCGCTGGGGCAAAAAGTGAAAAAGGGCACATTGCGCCACACGGCTGATTTATGAAAAGCGGGCTTTTCCTCGAAACTTGACGCACTGGCGTGGGCCTGGCGGAGTCGAGGGGCTGAATTCGGAAAGCAGGCGATGTTACGTAGTTACTAATACCGCGCGGGCCTCGAGTGGCCCTTTGGAACTCGAGGGGCTCCTTTTTTCCTTAGGAGGGTACCTTTTCGGGCTTGAGGAAGTAAAATCCTCATCGATTTTCACCGTACCATCCGTACACTTTTTTACAATCCCTGGAAATAAAAATCTACTTTTTAAATTAAAATTCGTTAAAAAGTCACTCTGTAACTTGATTGAAACAAAAACACATTGTTTTGCAATTATATTCGCACGAATAAAAGGGAAATCATTTTTGCTCGTTACAGCAGATTTTGATTGACATCGTACACCTCGATAAAATTTTTTCGAATCGGTTGATTGCACAAACATCGTGTTACAATACAAAGTGATAAATGAAAATAAAACAACCCAAAAGGTCGCGCTCCAACCATCAGCAAACGAGACCTAAAAACCCAGCAAAAAGTATCCTCGGCAATCAAGTCGTCCTCGTCGTGAGTCTCTCTATTTCAGCCCCGGATTTAGCGATTTCCATTTCACCCAGCGTGCAGTGAACGCAGATTGTAGTAACAAAACTGTTTTTCGTTCTGTTGTTTCGCAGGGCAACTACACGTCCAAGAGCGACGTGTGGGCGTTCGCCGTGACGTTCTGGGAGATCCTGACATTCGCACGCGAACAGCCGTTCGAAGAGCTGCCGGATTACCGCATCGTTGAAAACGCGACTTACTTCTACCAGCAGGACGAGAGGAGGGTGAGGCCACGTGTTTTTTCCCCCTTTCCTTTGTTACTCTTGATTTGTCTTCAGTAAACTACTGTGTATAGTAGTTTATAGAGTATCTATAAATAAATTAAAAAAAAAAAAGAACAACGTAACCGTGTGCTTCGCAGATGATCCTGCCACTGCCGAAAAACTGCCCGAAGGAGATGTACGACCTGATGCGCGAGTGCTGGCAGCGCGACGAGCGCGACCGGCCGAACTTCCGGGAGATCCATCTGTTCCTGCAGCGAAAGAATTTAGGGTACAAGCCCCATCTGCAGCGCAGCTCGAGCACCAGTGCCAATGACACCTGATACAGAGAACTCGAAGGCTGGAACCTCATCCGGCTTTCCATGATGGGCGAGCTCAACGGCAACTGGTGGGAGCCCTGCACCGGCGTCGTCGACAACACCCGCGCCAGCACCACCTCCACTTCCAATTATCATTGAATAATCGGATGGGTGTGTCTGTGTCGCGATTGACTTTTTGTTTATGTTTTGGAAAGGGAAGAAGGAGTTTTAAAAAGACAAGCAGCAGCTCGACAATAACCGCGCGCTTCCCTCTCGGTGTATCAATGTGTAAAGGAAAAAAAAAAAAAAAAAAAAAAAAAAAAGAAAAAAGTAATGTTCGTGTATCCTTGAGTCGATGTTCGATAAACGCGCTCTTTTAACTCCGCCTGGGAGAGAAGTTAAGATAATGATAAAAAAAAAAAAAAAGTATAAGAGAGAAAGTTGTGGATTATTGTGCGGAATCTTTCAATACTTTTTTTCGTCTTTTTTTATTTATACGAGAAAAAAATTATCATCAGATTACTTGACATCTCTAAATTTATTGAATTTTGATCAATGCACTTGTAAATTTTTCTTACCCATTTAAACATTTGTTTGTCATTTATTATTCACCATTTGTTGCGCTCTAATTGATTTTGTAAAATGTTAAACGACCATTTTCACGAAGGTATAAATATATATTATATGTAAAAAAAAAAAAATTACGTGACAATTTGATAATTACTGTTAAATATATCTATGTTAGACACACGAAAAATTTATAAAATGATGATATCCAATATTAATAAATAAAAAGTTACAATAAGACGACGAGAAATCTTTTTTTTTTTCATTTGCAACACCTCATCATTTCTTTAAGCTTAGTAAGACAGAAATAATTGCATTTGAAAAATTTATTAATTTTTGTCGAGAATTCATTTTTTATTTTTTTTCGACAGATGATAACAAAGAGAAAAAAAAGTTTGTTGTCCTCTCTACGGATACATCAAACCAATCGGATTCGCGCGTGTTTACCAATGAAGCCGTATTTTTCTGTACAACTGCTGCGTTGTCGTGTTTTCGGGAGGCCAGTGGCAGCTAGTCAAAAAACGCTTGATTCACAGTTGCACGGTAGAAAAAAAAATCGAGACTCGTAAAGCTGGCGTTCAAAACACGGATAAACAAAACGTGAAAATGAAAAAGAAAAAAAAAATTAATCCTGCCCTCTGACGAATTCCCGAGAACCAGTGAAATACTACCACCAGTTGAATCTGATACACCATTGAAGCATGGTAAGGTAATTTTGTGAATCATCAAACTACACAGATGCCAAGAGTCGAATGAAAGAGGGGAGACAAAAGTCCCATATCAGCGGGTTATGTAGAAAAAAAAAAAAAAGCGAAGCGCTCGTATACCTCGAAACAAAAAATGCATCAACACCCTCGCGTGTCGCGTTGTGCTCTTGCAGTTGAAAATTCGTCAAGCACGAGCTACATTTTTTTTCGGCTCGTCAACGAAGCTGGATCCGGCGAACAATGGCTCTTTATTGGTCGAACAGGCTGCAGGGACAATGGGACACTGGATTGATTTGAAAGTGCTACGTGATAAACATATCGGTGCGAGGGTTGGGGGGGAAACCATGTACCGGATTACACGTGGTATCGCGACGTTTAAGCCGAGAAATGCGAGCTTGTTCTGTTAATGGAATTAAAAAATTTTTATTGTACCTTGTTTGCAAAACACTGTTGGTACGATATTTTTAAACATGCAATGATTTCCTCATGCTTTGGCTCTTTTTTCATTGCTTACATTTAAGATAGATTAGATTTTAATAGTAGAAGCAAGTCCGCAAAGCAAATGATTTTTGCACAAGAGTGATAATCACCCAAGTTACGCACTAGTTGCGTATAAGCTATTTTTGTCACTCAAATAAAACAAACACACCGATTGTCAAACAAGTGTTGATTATCATTAATTATCGTAATACTTTAAAAAAAAAAAAAAAAACGTTTTTTTGCAATGCACCCTGCAGTGTAGAAAAGTAGCAGTGCTCATCAAACTCGTCCCGATAATAGCAGTGCCATTAATTTTAAGTGCATACCTTGACAAATGGAAAAGTGTAGAGGATGACGTGGTCGCTGCGACGTCAAAGACACAACATTTACACATGACGACTCGTAAAAATGAAAATCACTCGCATCGCCGTGCAAACACGTAAATCACCAGTCAGCCATCGGTACCAGGGACGATTTTTCCACCCAGCATCACCTGCCGCGGCAAACGCACGAAATCCCCCAGCATCGCTCTTGAAAATTGATACCGTCATCTCGCACGCGGAAAGCCCATACCTCGGCAACAGTAGCACCGAAACACCGCTCACTCCTTCGGATCGACGCGTCTCTTTTGTCCCAAGAACAGAAAAACAAGAAAAATTAGGGTACGACAAGCTAGTGTCGTCGGTTGATGCATAGCCTCGGCTGCTCCGAGATTTCAAGGGGCCGCGAGCTCTCATTCATATCAGTGTCATCCGACGTGATTCCCCGATTCCAGTTTTGTCAGCGCGTCGCCGCCACCCCCAATTTCGCTCTTCTTCTCGGGGAGAAAGAAACCCTCCGGGCGAGTATAAATTTCACTTGTCGAGCACCTCGAGCGCACGTGCGCCCACTATGCGTATGTGCATGCATATATATGTACGCGCGCGCCCGAGGTGCTGGAAAGGAAAGGCCGCTGAAGCGCGGGGGAGAGTAAGAGAAATGGTGGAGAGGAAAAATGAGGGGCGGTAAGACGGAAGTGAGGGAAGCCGAGTCGAAAATGTATCCTACGTGGCATTTATTATTTTGTGCGCACTTGTATCGTTGACGGATCATGTATTGACAGGTTAGCAAATCGTCATTTCTATGGTATCGGAGTAGCCGAGTGACGCGGAAAAAGTTGCAAGGCATTCTTCACTCGTTTCTTCGATTCATCATCACTCGGTTTACAGCACGAGACCCGATTGGTGGAGCAACCAAGACGAGAGTGCAAGAGCAAAAGTGGAAACACGTAGTCACATATGCATGCATGTGCACGCGAGCTGAGCAAAGCTCGGCAAATTGTTGGTGCACACACAGCCAACGCCAGCAGTCACTTTTACGGCCCCGCCGCTGCTCGTCGTCGCCCGTAAAAGACGTTTTGGACGTGATAACGCGTGCTGCGAGTGCTAGAAAGCCCTGCTCTTTTTTTTCTCTTCGCGACTGGGTGCAGGCCGACGACAAGGCAACGAATGGGTGATATAACTGCCGTACTGATTAAATTGTCTGCGTGTAATACCTTTCGGCGTATCTCGATGCAGCCAGGCGTTTTTTTGCATCGAGGCCGGTGCACTGGTTTTAATCCTCGGGAAGGACTCGATCTCTATTTTCTTGGAGATGTTTGCGAGGAGTGAAAACAAAGGAGGTACAAAATATTTTATTTTCAAAGTTTCTGCATAGGTTTTTCCAATTATGTATTCTCACGTATGGCGCACAACAGGGGGTAAATTAATTGCCAAGAAATCATTAATTTACAATTACCAGTTTATCATTACTCCATTTTTTATAAAAACCTGAGAAACATGATACATCGGTTATTTGGACTTGGGATGGAGAAAATAAAAGTCAACTTTGTTTCGGATCCATGAAAAACGCAGTTGTAAAATCCATACACATCCGTATACATATTATTGAAGATTAAACGCAAGCAATCACAGAAAAATAAAATCATTATTATCTTATTCTAATGGCTCGTGTAATTGCAATTAAGATACAGTTACGCGTGGACCATAAAAAGTACACTTCTCGTTTTGTTTTATTTATTTCTCTCTGCAACCAAAAACAGGCCCATTTTTCCTCCCCACGAGTACGCAGAGGCTAAAAAGTTACTGCCTCCACTGCAGAGAGAAAGAACCGTCAACAACTAACGTTTTCGCGTTACTCACTGCCGCCGTTGGGGCAATTACAACAGTTGGCAGTAGTGTGGGGAAGATGAATGAGAGGACGGCGCTTATGACTTTCGTTGCTGGCATTGCTCGCAGGAGGCGTTTAACTGAGCGCTTGTCTACCTCTCGGGGAGCCGTTTTGTTCCGTCTTTCTGTCCATCTCGATGAATGTTAGCAGCCGAGGTAACACTGCTGCATAGCCGACAGGGCCTTTTCTAATTCGAAAAATTGACTTTGGACTTTCGAAACTTCCCGAGTCGTGGCAGCATGTTCCACCATGTGGAAAATCATTGGCTTTTGGGATTAACATCTGTGTGACTTCAAGAACGAGACGTCCGCAGTTTCCATGTGTACCTTTCCAGGTAGATTCGTTTTTTATTATTTTATGCAAAACTAAATCCATGGAAAACTCTAAATTGTAGTTTCATATATTGAAATGACATGTATTTCGGAACTGGTGTGACACATACACCGGGGAAAACACAGAGCCCACAGGGGCTGTTGAATTCTTTTCAATAAAGGCTGACATGATCAAGAAAGTAAGATCAATCAGCCTTTTCAAAATTTTTCCATACATGTGTGTAAATATACTTACAAAATTATCACCAGAAACATACTATTTGCATCTCAAATGTTGCGTTGCTAACTACCGCGTTACGTTTCAAAGTAACACGCAAAGTCTACATTATGTAGGTACGTGTGATGTACATCTAATGTATTTATAATTCGAAAAAAGTCATCGATCTATTTCGACTATCATTAAGCGATAACACATCTGCTGTATGTTTTACTCTTCGGCAACTAACAGTATCCACTAATGAATCATTACCTTAAGCACAGAATCGTCTGAGCTTTGATATGCATTAAAACACGTAAAAATAAAGTTAAATCAATATTGTAATGACTGTAAAAAAGTTCACTATGAAGCATGTGACGAATAAAACCCATATTTCCATCCACCACGCTATGGACCCCCTTCGCACAGTCCATTCGTTGGCTCACGTCAAACGTTTTGCTCGCGTATATTATACGTGTCCTTCCATTGCATGCAAATAATGCAGCTGCGGCATTAACGCTCGTTTCCCTCGCTAGACATGTACACCCGAGCAAACAACACGTAGATGTGTACATATCGGAGTGTGCAAGAGAGAGAGAGAAGATAGTGACAATCAACGGGTGCAAATAATGACAGATCGCTGGACTAGTGAATCGCAGTTTCTAATTAACTAACGTTAACGACGGCTTGTTGTGCACCAGCTCCATACGCCCCTCGAGACCTTATCGCTACATCTATCGTGTATGGATAAATTGTATTTAGCCTGCGTTTGATACCTTACAAAACATGTATACATAATAATTAATAATCGACGATCCAACAGATCGACACCGTATATTACCTTACGATCTTGATACATATAGAATCAGAACAAGCGATAATCTTTCACAAATAATATTTAACATTGGCACAACAATCTACCGCTAAATACGAAAAGATTTTCTCGTCTATCGTTTGTGATTGCCCCTTTCATCGAAAAAGCGTAATCTAATGGCCTCGACAAACCGTTCACTCCATGTTACAGGGAAAATCCTTTTCGTCAGACTTGATCCTCATATCCCTGTACTTCGTACAACTATACCTAAAGTACTGTGCATGAATGTATTAACAGTGACGAGTTCATAAATATCCTCTTTTATCGAAATACACGACGTGAACTTTTTTCAGATTTACATGGAGTCAAGATTTTTCCAGTTGGTCGGGCAAAATTATCTGAAAAGGTCTTGGAGTGCCTGCCCCTTGAACATCTTTTCCTGGTACTTATGCTTTTAGACGGTCTAGGCTCCCCCTTTTTTCAAGAGCCATAC